GGCGGCCTGGGCTTTAGCCTCCCTTCGGTTCCTTGGAAGAGGGAGGGCGGCCAGCGCGGGAGCAGTAGCAGCAGAGGCGGAGGCTCCAGCGCGTCTCTCTCCACCTCAGCCTGAGCCACGGGAGGCCTGGCGGTCCGCGTGGCTGGAGGGGCTTCGCTGCCCGAGAATGGGAATTCTCTTCACCAGGATATGGAGACTGTTCAATCACCAGGGTGAGGGGCTCGGGCCGCGGGCGTACGGTGGGGAGAGGGTCGGCCCTGCCCGAGTGAGTGGGGTCTCCGAGTACTTCCGGAGCGTGGACTCCACGCGAGGTGCAAGCTGCTCCCGTGCAGGCCCGGGACCGTTCGGTCCTCGTTCGCGAGGGTGGGGGTTGTTTCCACTTCGCAGCCCTTTGCCTTAGCGGACCTGCCCAAGAAGTCCCTTTCGCCACACACCCATTGCTCCGATTTTGATTGGGAGTGAAAAGGGTTTCTTGTCCCACGTCCGATGCCCCTAAGTGGCACGGCTTGGTTTGTCTTTCACTCCTTTCTTCCGTCAGCAGTTGAGTTTGGACAGCAACGGGAAATGCTGGCGTCTTCTGGGATGAAGGTTGTAGGTTAGGGCCTTCACCGCACCAATGAGCGACTGAGTTGCAGAATGCGGAAAACGTGAGGACTCGCTCTCGAGTGCTCGCGTACACCAGACTTCTGAGATTTCCCTCCAACGCCACCCGTCTGGGGGAGGGGCGGGAGAGACTCCTGAATAGTGACGGAATTCCCTCTGTTTGCTTTTAAGGTTAAACTTAAGGTCGCTTTTCGACCTGTGTGGGTTAAGAGGGTTTTTTTTTTTTTCTTTTAGTTTTTTTGCCTAGGTTAAAAATATTTTAAGTGTTTTTCTGAAAGCTTTAAAAACCACCCATATGAAACGTTACTAACGGTAGGGTAACTAGCAAGTTACTAAGGACAGTGCTTTATGTGGATGATGCTTAAATTTATCTAAACTCAAACATTGCCCAGAAATGCATAGCAATTTGTTTCAAATGTGTTACAAATGTGTCTAAAACTAGATAGAAAAAGGACACCATTTTAACAAAAAGGATGACAGTTAAGATCAAATGTAGTGATGTCTTTGTTATTTTTTAAAACTCGAGTTGGACAGTTCATCATTCCTGCTGTAAGTAACTTAGTGTGTGGTTTTTCTCTTGTATAAATTGGTGGTGTCGCATCTCAAAAAAGTTTTCCAGTTAAAATTTAGATCAGTGGTGGCAACGGTTTCACAGATCCACTACCTAACCCCTCCTCCTCAGTGATGAAGCTGCTCTTATAAAGAGATGGGAAAGGAGTAGAGCTGGCCCAGAGGATAGTTTAGGTAACATGATAAGGAGTGGAAAGTGGCATCGGGCTTTCTCGTGGAGTGGAGGGAACCAGTTCTAATCAACCATAGTCTCAGACTGGCTATGTAAGTTGGGAGAGTGAAAATGGGAACCAATCACTTTACCTTCCTAGATCTTGGTGTTCTCACCTAGAGTACTGGGGATCTCTGCGGCCTACAGATCTTGAAAACTTAATCTCCAGGTTTTAAGTATTAAAACTTGCATTGCTGTAAAACTGGTGGTATTTAGGGTAAATCCGCTCAATTCTAGCTTTACCATCTGTAATTTTGAATTATTTTTAGCAAAGGTAGCGTTTCTGAATCTCTATGAGGTTTAGAAAACTTTGCGTATTAATTGAGCTCCCTACAGCCAGAAAAATCGCTATCACCTTTATTTTGAATTGTTTCTATAACTTAAGAATGAATTACAGAGCCAGGGGTTTAGCTCAGTGGTGCCTTACCTGCCTTGCAAGCACAAGGTCCTGAGTACAATCCCCAGTACCAAAAAAAGAAAAAAAAAAGTATTACAAGTTTGCCAACACCTACTTGACAGTAGTAAATAAAATACTCCCACAAATTGTTGGAACCACCACAAATTGCTGTTGCTAGTGTTAGTATGACCTGTATTGTGTGTATGTGTTTGTGTTTTTTTTCTTTTTCTGGACATTTATTTCAATGTTGAGAAATTAATAATGAAGTCATGCTCTAGAAAGTTACATGTTCATATTGTGAAAGTGAATAAGTGATTTCTCCCCTGTTAAACAGTGTGGTTGTTATACCAATAGAGTCAGCTTTCAAAATGTTCACTCCAGTCTAATTCTAGACACTTTTTGGTTTTTTGGTCGTGTGTTAAATTGGATGTACATAGGTGAGATGTATCTTAACCGCTTTGTTTTACCTACAGAAGATTCAGGACACTATTCTATATTCTTTCGACAGGAACTGTTGGAAGAAAGGATTAAGAGCATTGCAGAATTTCTGATACTGATGAAATTTAAATTGAACCAGATCTCTTCTGAAAAACCTTTAGAATAGCCTTTTCAGTGAAAGCTTAGATTTAGCACATAGCCAAAGCTAACTGCATACTGCTCACAAGAACCAGAGGTCACATTTCTGGGGATACATTGAATAGAGCCCAAGCATTACACTATATGCTATAGTGTATGTCATCTGTTTTATTGTTATTGTTATTGTTGTTATTAATGTTTCGATGATCCTTTGAAGTAATTTATTTCATCTGAAAAGAGGAAACTGAGGCTGAAGTGGAGTAATCTTTCCAGGTCTTATAGCTGTTAAATGAGAGACCCAGGCAAGTTAAAATACCAAGGAAGTCTGCTGATGATTATTGCTCTTCTTAAAAGATGACAGCCTTTTTTTTCCCTCTACTTTAACTGTCTGTTAGTTGCTGCATTGTAAATCTTTAGGACTTTGAGGAGTTGCCATTAGTGACTTTTTATACTGATCAGTGGTCTACAAATTTATTTTTTGAGCACCTTTTTGGACCATGACCTGTTCTAGGTGGTAGGAATACTACAGTGAACAAGAGACAACTCTTCTTTCCCTTATGGGGCTTTCATTACAGTATAGGTAGACAAAATGCACTCATTCCATCTCCATAAATAAAATAATTTACATTTACTGACTTTTGCAAGGTTAAGTTTTAAATGCTCATATAGGTTAGTTGATTTAATCTGTGTTTAGTTGATATATGACTTAGTTGATTTCCTCATACTGTAGCAACCCTGCAAGGTAGATATTCTCCTTTTATAGGGCAAATTTTACAAAGAAATATTAAGTAGTTTTCTTAAAGCACTATAGTTAAAAGTAATAGGGCCTAGGATTCTAACTAAGCTTGTCTAGTACTGAAGTTAGCGCTCTTAAAAACAAATACACAACTTTTTTTTTATATAAGCAGGATTCATGTTAGATAAAAGAAGGAACTTGCTGACACTGATGTAAACTATGAAAGAAATTATGGGATTTCCCCGTTGATAGCCGTATAGTTCTCTTCTGTCTGGTTGTTACAAAAGGAATTATAAGTTACTCATGACTGTAGGAGTAGCTTTCTGTGCTGCACAAACCTGGTGCTGAAGAAGCCACCTCTGCTTGTGTGTGTTTTTTTTTAAAGGGGATTCAAATATGTATGCATGGAGGCTAAGTGAACTGTACCATTTGTAATTGTATTGCCTCAGCTCCAAATGAGTCCTTTTTGCATGTTCTGTGGAAATAGAACTGGGTCCTTTAAATAATTTTCTTTCTCAATGGGCACAGTGTTCAGCTTTGTTCATCAACAGCAGTGCAGGGACAGCATTGCAGGTGGGAAGGATTTTTCCGCATGGTTACAGTGTGCCCTCTCCATGGGCTCTGTTTGAGCACAAGCACCTTCACCTGTGCCTGGCTCTTGGGCTGCATGCTGTCAGCTTCCCCAGCACCTACCTCAGGTGGTTTCATGATGGAAGGCCTCCAGCAAAATACTCTTAATGAACATTTTTCCCCAGGTCTCTAGAGGAAGGATTTCTAGGATGTTCCTCTGGCATCTCACCCTGGCTACTTCTCAGCCATTCAGTGAGCCATAGCTGTGCCGTCCAATAAGGTCTTTATCTTAGTGCTGAGCCCAGTGGAGAAGCTGTCTCAGCCCTAAAGGGGACAAATTCTCCTTTTGTCATTCTTATAATCTTTGTAGTTCTTTTAACTATTCCTTGTTATCTCAATCTTGTGTAATAGTTATTTTTATATTAAACGTTCCAAGTTGAAATTATTCTCTAATTTCTGTCTCCAGATTGGATCTCTAATTTTGCTGTGTATGATTACTGTTTTATTTTAGCAACCTCTTAGTACAAAGGTTTTTTTCCCTGAAACTTTATTACGAATGGCTATAGTTTATTTTCAAAGTTCATTTTTTATTAATACTTTTAAGTTTTGAGAATTGAATTTGTAATACAAAATGGCATCATCAGATATCTCCCTCTTAATCTATTTTCCAGGTGTAATTTATTTATTCATTTTTTGAAAAGATACTTTATTAGGCACATGCTCTATATAAGAGTGAGAAAACAGTAGTGAAAACGACAAATGGATTTTTTTTTTTTTTGCCCTAAAGGTCATAGTAGTGATAAGGCTTAGTGATAATTTGTATATGAGGTGAGAATAAAGAATTATAGTGACCCCCAATTTATTTGCCTTGGTGCTTGTGTTTTCTGACTTTGTATGATTCAGAGAGATAGAAGGTGTATGAAATGACAGTTACTCCCCCCCTTAATTTACCGACTGGTAGTCACATGAATATAAACTTTAGAAACTGGCAATGACAGGAATTGGTAGGCTAAAGTGAAAAGAAAATGAAAGCAAAAGGAAATAAAAACAAAGAGCACTTTTAGGACAAAACAACATTGCTTGTTAAAGTCCAAATGATAACTCAGAATTCCATTAAAGCATTATAACAATGTGTTGTTGTTTTGGCTTATCTGAGTAATGGCAGGAATGCTGTGTGGTAGATATTCTGAAAAATCAAATGAAGCAATCAACTTGTGGTAACTCGCATTCATCAAAGAATTGGAATGATCAAAAGTTAAGTTTGTCCATATCATTATGCATATTATATTTTAGATTCTTCAGAATATTTGTTTCAAATCACGTTATAGCACTTTCTGACTACAAATGTATTTTTTCCATAGAATCTTGCTCCATTTTGGTAATGAGAACAGACTGGGGTAGTGACAGAACTTAAGGATGTTAAAAGTTGATTAATATTATCAAGCTGATTAATATTACTTTATTGGGAATAAACTAGTTTGCCATCATTGAGTTATTGACCCTATTACATAATTATGTCTTAATTGGGACCTGGGATGTAGTTCAGTGA